TTTTTTTTTTTTTGAGACAGGGTCACACTCTATAATTCAGGTTGGCCTTGAACTCACTGTGTACCCCAGGCTGGCCTCAAACCTGTGGCAATCCTCCTGCCTCAGCCTCCCAAGTGCTGGGATTACAGGAGTGCACCATCACACCAGGCTCCTATTTCTTTTTAGAAGCTACTGACCAGTGTTTGCTAAGATCCAGGTATTACAGACAGAAAGAACACCAGACCTGGTCAAAAGGCTGCTCCCAATACAGGGGGAGCTCTTCCCTGTCAGTACAGAACAGCAGGGACTTTGCTGATTCCCTGAATTCAAATCCTGGCTCTTGGGCCGGGGACGTAGCTCAGTGGTTCCGATGCCTGCCTCAAATCCTGGCTCTACCACTCACCGTCTATGTGACCCTGGGAGTCACTTACCCTCTCTGAGCCATGTACTCATTTGCAAAATGGGGATCACCATAGTACTCAAATTTCACAAGATTTTAATAAGAACTGAGTGAGTTCATAGTTGTAAAATGTTTAGAATATATGGCACATAGTAAGTGCTCTAAGTGTTTGCTAAATACGCCTAGCTGTACGTACCTGTAACCCCAGTACTCTGGGAGGCTGAGGCAGAAAGACAGCGAGTTTGACTCCAGTCTGGGTAACTTAATAAGAATCTGTCTCAAAATGTTTTTTTATTTTTTGGTACCAGGAATCAAACTCAGGATGTTGTGCTTGCCAGGCAGGCACAGTGCCACTGAGCTAAATCCCTGGCCCTCAAAAAAAAATTTTTTTTTAATTTTTTAAAAAGTCTGGGAGGGCCAGGGATTTAACTCAGTGGTTCTGGCGCCTGCCTCGCAAGCACAAGGGCCCAAGTTTGATCCCCAATACAAAAAAAAAAAAATCTGGGGACATAACTTAGTGCAAAGGCTCTGGGTTCAATCCCAGTACCACAAAAATAAAGACAAAACAAAAATACTCCTGGGCTCTTTTTGTTGTTTCATTTTTTGATTTTTTTTTGTACCAGGGATCAAACTCAGGACCTTGAGCTTTCAAGGCAGGCAGCAGCACCACTAAGCTAAATCCCGGGCCCAAATTGTTTCATTTTTTGAAACAGCGTCTTACTAGGTAGTTCAGGCTGTCCTTGAACTCACTATGTACCCCAGATTGGCCTTGAATTCCCTGTGATCCTCCAGCCTCAGCCTCCTGAGTGCTGGGATTACAGGTGTGCACTACCACGCCCGGCTTCCTGGGCTTTTGTCTTCCTCTATCTGTGCCTAGGATCTTGTCACCTGTTTCAAAAACCATTCTTCTAAGGGGCCAGGGATTTAGCTCAGTGGTTTCGTTGCCTGCAGCACAAGCACAAGGACCCAAGTTCGATCCTCTTACCCAAAAAAAACACAACAACAACAAAAAATTCTTCTAGATCATAGGTCAGAAAATCTGGCCTGCTGCCTATTTTTATTATTGTTTTCTTATTTTTCCTTTTTTTTGTTTTTGAGTACAAGTAAAAGTTATTTATTTAGAGCTTGATACAGCAGGAAGTCAGCCACCTTCATTTGCTTCTGGCAGAGACTCTATGGCAGGCAGAGGAACTGAAAAGCTCTATAGTAGAAAAAAGAGAGGAAACAACAAAAATGCAAATTGAGGTGGGACCTGGTGCCACACGCCTGTAATCCCAGCACAGAGGCAGGAGGATCACTGGCAGTTCAGGCCAGCCTGAACAACAACAACAAAAATGAAAATCAGGATAGGGGAATTAGAGGAGGGAGGGAAGGGGATTAAAACAAAAAGCTAGGGGTTGGGGATTTAGCTCAGTGGCACCGGTGCCTGCCTTGCAAGCAAGATCCTGTGTTCAATCCCTGTTACAAAACAAACAAACAAAACTAGCCATAGTATGTACATGTACCTACTCCCCAAGATGACTGTAAACTCCATGTACTGAAATGTACAAAGTTTTTTAAAGCTTAAATAAAAACAGTTTACTCGGAGGCTGAGGCAGGATGATTACAGAAAGTTGGAGGCTAGCCTGGGCTACATAGTGAGCTCCAGGCCAGACTGAATTACAGAGCGAGATCCTGTCTCTAAAAACAAAACAAACAAACAAAAACCCTCCAGGTTTTTTTTTGGTACCGGATGGAACTCGGGACCTTGCGCTTTGGGAAGCAGGTGTTGGAACCACTGAGCTAAATCCCCGGCCCCTTAAACCCTCCAGTTTAAATGGAAAAGAAAAAAAGGGGGGGTCTGGGATTTACCTCAGTGGTTCCACCACCTGCCTCTCGAGTACAAGGACCCGAGTTCAATCCCAGGTATCAAAAAAAAAAAAAGGAAGAGCCAGGCATGGTGGCACATGTCTATAATCCCAGTGCTCAGGAGGCTGAGGCAGGAGCATCAACACGAGTTCAAGGCCAGCCTGAACTACCTACAAAGAATTTGTCTCAAAAAAAAGGGGAGGGGGCCTGCTTCAGATATGCCTTAATTGTAAACTGCTGACAGAGGGAAGCTGTAGGTGGGAGAACTACAAGTAGGACATCCGATCTAATTGGTTTGGGGTACATACTTGGCTTTTTCCAATTGGTCCCAAGGTGAAAATGGGCAGGAATTAGGGTAGCTCACAGTTATTAACCAATTCCTGGCTGTTTGGTGTTGTTACAGGGGTTACCTTTTGGTTTGCCTGACTAGTTGCTAGAAACAGTAGTCTGACTTCCTATAAGTCTGATTTGCAAATAGTGGGACACTTTCTGGGCTGGCTGCTGCTTATTGTGGGTGAGACTTCTATTGTTTTGTTGTTTGAGACAGAGTGTCATTCTGTAATTCAGGCTGGCCTTGAACTCACTATGTAGCTCAGGCTGGCCTCCAATTTGCAGAGATGCTCCTGCCTTGGGTACTGGGGATTTAACCCAGGGCCTTCACATTGAGCTACAAACCCAGGCCATTTTAAATTTTGGGTTTTTTTTTTGTTTTTGTTGGGTTTTTTTGGTACCGGGGATTGAACTCGGGACCTTGAGACTGCGCGGCAGGCAGTGGAACCACTGAGCTAAATCCCTGGCCCAAATTTTGGGTTTTTGTTTTTTGTTTTTTTTGGTACCAGGGATCGAACTCAGGACCTTGCGTTTTCGAGGCAGGCACAGTGCCACTAAGCTAAGTCCCTGGAATAAATTTTTGATTTATTATTATTATTATTTTGAGACAGGATCTTGCTAAGTCAGTAAGTTGTCCTGGCTGGGCTGGAACTTGCCATTTTCTTGCCTCAGCCTCCCAGAGTGCAGGGATCTCCGGTGAGTGACACCATGTCCAACTGTGGAAGCTGAGGGGAGTTCCTTAAACATGGAATTTGGATCCTATTGGTATAGGGGAAATAAGTGTAACTCCCAACCTGTTAGATATCAGATACACTGAGTTCATGTTCCCTAAAGCCAAAGAATAAATTCTAAGAACAACAGAAGGTAAGAGTAGGAAAATTTATTGGGAAATAGGATGGGGAACAGGAATAGGGAATAAGAATGGGGAAGAGGGATAGCTCCTGAGAGACAGGAGGAGTCCCGAATGGGTTGCCAACAAGCCCACTTTCCTGAGGAAGTTTTATGGAGCAAAGTCATGGGGGGTGGGTACAACATGGGTCAAATTATAATCAACCAATACAATTTCAAATATAGTAACTTCGCTAATACTGATCCAACAGTAGCAAGGACATGTGGATGACATCAGTAACTCTGATTGATAATCTATAGTCTTAGTCTTGCTGGGTGCGACAAGATGACCCACCCCTAGTGAGATAATGGTTTATTTATATGGGAAATCTCAAAAGGATGCTACCAATAACCTCAAGCTTCCTTAGGGAAGTATGTAAATTTGGCCATTGTGACTTTTTTTTTGGTACCAGGATCGAACTTGGGTCCTTGTGCTTGTGCAGCAGGCGAAACCACTGAGCTAAATCCCAGTCCATGGCCATTGTGACTTTAATCTTCTTCATATGTGCATGCACATCTGAAGTTTTTGATGTGTTCTTCTGCACTGACTCCCTCGAGGGCCTAGCCCTGTCTGACTGCCTATAATATTCCTACTTAATTTAGCTGTCTATAATACCATCACTGCCTGGTTCAAAACACTGTAGGTAGGGCCGAGGATGTAGCTCAGTGACACTGCACCTGCCTGGCAAGCACAAGGTCCTGAGTTCAATCCCTGATACCAAAAAAAAAAAAACCAACACCAAAAGACACTGTAGGCTTCTGGGAAAATCTGAGCCTTCTCTGAGGCCTGCAGCGTGCCATATGTTCTGACTTGTCCACCCACTGACTGTTTCCTGGGCTCCAGGGTTCTGGATTGTACAACCCCCTCTTTCCAATTTCAGGGTCTCCAGTCCTCAAAGATGAACAAGACTGGGGCAGGGTACGAATACAGCTAGTCAAAGCGGGCAGCACTCACTAGGCGCAGGGGTAACAGTGACCCCCGGACCACTCTGGTGTGTAGGAGGGCCAATGCCAATGGGGGTGCCGGCCACATGTGCCTGTGGGCCAGAGTTCTCTGTATATTCAGGCCTTCATTTTGACCCTGGTATAAACGGAAGATACCTGGTACTTCAGCTGTACCTGTGCACCAGTCCAGAGTGAAGGCGCTGGCCCAGGACTGAGGACCTTCAGCTTTCAGGAAGGGCTTTAGGGAGACAGAGAGCCACCCTGGTATCCCTAACGCCCCTCACTTTCTCTGAATCAGGCTCACTTTGGAGAACACTGACACGTGGGCCATGAAACATCTTCGAGAGATTTTCAATTTTTCTTTGTTTTTTGAGACAAGGTCTCACTATGTAGTCCAGGCTGGCCTTGAACCCACAGCAATCCTCTTGCTTCAGCCTCCCAAATGCTGGGATTATAGGCCTGCCCTCCTCCTCCACCTCACTCAAACGGTAAGCCAACCAGGTGCTGGGGTTCACTCAATAGCAATATACAGTACTGTCTGAAGCCTGATTGGTTTGCATGGTTGGCTTATCCAATATTGCCACAGGGGCCACCGTTAACAAAATGGGAGTCCTGGGCCGGAGATTTAGCTCAAATCTGGGTGGCGACACACCTGCATCGAAAAATGTAAGGTCCATAGGGCCGGGGATTTAGCTCAGTGGTCTTGTCACCTGCTGCGGAAGCACAAGGACCTGAGTTCGATTCCAGGTACCAAAAAAAATAGTGCAAGGTCCTGAGTTCGATCTCCAGTTCCGCAAAACAAAACAAAACAAAATGGGAGTCCTCAAGTTAAAAAGCCTTTAAGGATGGCTTACCCAAAGTCCAGTCTCTGGGGGGAGGGAGGGAAGAATGGGATGTAAAAAGATGTATTATGTATGTGCACCAACCCCCCCATGATAAATGTAATCATCATATACTGCAAACATGTACTAATAAAAATTAAAATTAAAAAGAGAAATATATTGGCAAACACAAAAAGAGACTTGGAAATAGTTCCATGTGCAATCTGATTTCAGGCACTGGTAAAGAAGCCACTTCTCCTTACCACTGAAGGAAAAAAAAATTGGAAAATCTCAAATCCAATCCAATTCTTGGGCTTCAGCTAAAATGCAGATTCCCCTAGTAGGAACATAATAGGGTCCCTTTCGATGTGAACGAATTCCAGGGCCGGGGATTTAGCTCAGCAGCACCATGCCTGCTTCACAAGCGCATAGTCCTGAGTTCGATCCCTGGTACCAAAAAAAAAGTCATCTACTCTACAATGTGAATGAATTCCAGACCTATTTTGGACATTCTTACTGGATCAGAGAAGGAAGACCCTGGAGTATATTGGAAGGAGGCAGTTAATGTTATGTAATAAGCACTGCCTGCTCTGGAGCATTAGATTTCAGCAAGGGTATGTTTTCTTATGGTGGTCTCACAGTAACAGAGTGGCTCTTATTCTCGCTGTATAGATGAGGGAACTGATGCTTCAAAAGACAACTCAGAATACAGTCATCCTCATTTGTTTAAGTATTGCCTATAGTCACTTTTACCCAGACCCTAAAACATTTACTCTTTGGCCTTCTATGAACGCCTGCTGACCTCTGTTCTGAATTCTCCACATTATAAATCAATACCAAGTCAGATAACCTTTGCACATTATTTTACCTCTGTAGAGAAAATCTAAAAATAAAACAAAAACCCAACTGATTGCTAGCCTGGGGCTACACAGGGAGCTCATGGGTAGCCTGACTACATGACAAGACCCTGTCTCAAACAAAACAAAATGATATGATGTCCAAGAAACCCCATCCCCAGTGTCTTTTACTTAAAAATATTATTAAAACATTATTGGTTATAATTTTTTTCAGTACTAAGGATTGGACTCAGGGCCTTCACACTGAGTTACATCTCCCACCCTTTTATTTTGATCCTGTTTACAATTTTTGTGCGTGTGTTTTTTCCCCAACCCTTTTATTTTGAGACATGGTCTAACTACATTGCTAAGTTGCCCAGGCTGAGCTAGAATGTGCAGTCCTCCCGCCTCAGCCTCCCAGGGTGTACTTATCATATTTGATGTATCTAGTAGAGGATCACATCATAAACTGGTAAGAGTGCTTCCCTTTCTTGCCACTAGGATGCTCAGAACTAAGTTTTATGTAAAAGTGCCTTAGTCTTCATTTTTTTGGTGACTGTTGCTTTTGTTTTTGCAGTGCTAGACTGAAGCTAACCAAGTACTCTACTACTAAGGTACATCCCCAGCCTTCTCTATTTATTTATTTTGGGGTTTTTTGTTTGTTTGTTTTTGTTTCTTGAGACAAGGTCTCACTCTGTAGTTCAAGCAGGCTTTGAACTCATTATGGAGCCCAGGCTGGACTTGAACTTCCTGGATCCTGCCTCAGATTCTGCCTCAGCCTCCTGAGTGCTGTGATTACAGGCTTTTGCTACCACACCCCACTTCCCAGACCTCTTTTTTTTTTTTTTTTTGGTACCGGGGATCAAACTCCAGTCCTTTTGCTTACGCAGCAGGCGGCGAAACCACTGAGCTAAATCCCCGGCCCCCCAGACCTCTTTTTAATTTTATTTGGAAACAGGGTCTTGCTGAAATTGCCCAGGGTGGCCAATTCTTCTGAAGTGGCCTCCAAAGAGCTGTGATAACAGATGTGCACCAGCACACCCAGCCTTTGACTTTTATTTTAATATCTTTTAATAATAGCTACCAATTACTTTAACACAGCTGGATGCTTTTCAAGCAGATAGAGGGCTAGATAGTGGTTCAGGGTCAAGCACTTGCCTAGTGTGTAATAGGCCCTGGCTTTCATCCCTAGCATGGCAAAAAGAAAAAAAGTAGGGCCAGGGATTTAGCTCAGTAGTTCCGCTGCCTGTCCCACAAGCACAAGTACCCAAGTTGGATCCCCTGTACCAAAAAAAAGAGAAGGAGCAGGCACTGACACATATAATTGATGATTAATTTTTTTTTCGGTATGGGGATTGAACTCAGGACCCTGTACATGTCAGGCAGGCACAGCACCACTGAGCTACATCCCAGACCCTTTGATTTTGAAATGGTACCTTGGGCATAGCTCATTTTATGCTGCCCCTGGAAGAATTTCCAAGGAAGAGAATCTTTCTGCTGCAACTCGGGATAAGTACCTTGGCAGCTCTGCATGGTTTCGAATTATCTTCTAAAAGTGGAGGAAGCTGGAGCCATGGATGCACCTCAGTGGCACAGCGCCTGCCTGGCAAACTCTAAGCCCTGAGTTTGATTCCCGGTACAAAAAAAAAATCTTTAAAAGTGAAGGAAGCAAGAAAGAGCCTGGTACTTGGAACCATATGTTCAAATCCTGGCTTGGCCTCTGAGCACTGTGGGAGCTGGTAACAAAACCTCTCCAGGTCCCAGTTTCCATAGGTAAAAATGGTGTCAGGAAGGCCTAACACTCATGTTTATTATTAAATAAACATTATAGGAAGACATTGTTTTGGACTAGTTCCTACATTGGGCCCCAAGAGCCCACAAATCTAAATGGAATGACTCACACTGAAATTCCAAGTCATCAAACCAAAACTATGCTGTTTATCTAAATTTCCCAAGAAACCAGAAGGGAGAGAGCCAAATAAACCAAATAAACCAGTTTCAATTGCCATGTAATGAAGTTCCCTCAATATCCTTACTCAGAAAAGTTAATTTGCCAGGCCTGGAGGTGCTCACCTATAATCTCAGTGATGGGGAGGCTGAGGCAGGACTACCATGAGGCTACCTGAGTAGCAAGTCTCAAAAAACAAGAAAAACAACCAAACAAACAAACTTCACTTGAGTTTAACCTGTAAGTTATTTTTCTGTTGTTCTGCCTCCTTATATAGTGAGTTCAAGGCCAGCCTGAACTACATAGCAAGACTGCCTCAAAAATAAAAAAGGATAAACCAAGCCTCAGGATAGGAAGAAACCTCATTCAAGGTCACAGTAGTGCTGAAATTGGGACTAGAGCTCTCTCTCTTTTTTTTTTTTTGGTGCTGGGGATCAAACTCAGGTCCCTGTGCTTGCGAGGCAGGCATCGGAACCACTGAGCTAAATCCCCGGCCCTAGATCTCTTGATTCTCAAACTAGTGCCTCCCGTACTCAACCTACACTGCCCACCTCAAAGGTCCTAGCAGAGGCTACCACACTTCTATGAGGTTCTAGTAGTCTTAGAGTAAGAAAGTAAGTGTGTGAAGAATGAAGAAGAAAAGGTCCTCTGGAAAGTTAAGCAACAAAATCTCATGCCATTGTGAGCCAAAGGACAAGACCCAGTGAGTCTCAGGGGATGTGAAGTCTAAGTTTGATTGTTGGCCCCAGATCTTGTTCCCAAGAGGTATCTCTTAGAGAATTATTTCTCTCTCTCTCCCTCCTCCTTCCCCTTCTCTGATTCTCTTCCTCTTTCATCCTTTTTCTTCAGTCAGCCCCCCAACTCAGGAAGAAGTGGCTGCTAGGCCACCAGAACTGGACTGGAAGCAAGGAGCCAGGGTGTCTGGGTTTACCTGCCCGAACAAAGTAGCAGTGCAAGGAGTGCACATGGACGTCTTCACTCACAGACTTGGCTGCAGCCACCAGGGCCTGGCCCACGATCTGACCCCCAAAGAGCCGCTGAGTGGTAGGTACCCAGTAATGCCTTCCTCTGTAGGGAGAAGAGGAAAGTGGAAAAGACTTGAGGGCTAGTCTAAATAAGCTCAATGAGCCTCCAGTGAAGAATCTCTAAACCTTAATGGGGTTTGGGATCCTTTTGAAAATCTGGTGAAAGTCATGGACCAACTCCCCATGATGTGTCACAAACATGAAAATAAAAAGCTATAGACTCTTTCCCCAGGCAAATATCCGTATCACTCTGCATAAAATTTTAGTCTTCATGACCACCCTATCTTTCTATGGACTCAGATCAGGATAATAAACTTTTTTTTTTGTATTCTTTTTACCCCCTCGTAGCAGGAATCAAACTCAGGACCTTGCACTTGCCAAATAGGTGTGGTGCCACTGAGCCAAACCCCCAGCCCCTACTAACTTATTTTATACTAGGGATCAGAAATCAAACATGCTAAAAGAAAACAAATGTAAGCACTATGATGTTTGCACAATAAAGAAGGCATCTACAACACACACAAACACACACACAAAAAAGAAATCAAAAGTGACAGCCAGGCTTGGTGTCACATGCTGTAATAAGCACTTGGGAGGCTGAGGCAGGAGGATTGCTACCAATTCTAGGCCAGCATGGGCTCCACAGTGAGTTCTAGGCAAGCCTAGACTACATAGCAAGACCCTATCTCAAAAAAAAGGAAAAGAAACCAAAAGTGACTTGACTAGCCAGGTGTGGTGGTACATGCCTATAATCCTAGGACTCTAGAAGGCTGAGGTAGGTAGGAGCACTGCAAATTTGAGCCCAACCTGAGCAACTTAGTAACTTAGGAAGACCCTGTCTCAAAATTTAATTTTTTAAAAAAAGAGCCAGGGATGTAGCTGAGTGTGAAATCCCTAGTACCCACCCCACCCCTCCACCCCCCGGAAAAAAAAAAGTTCACTTAAGCAAGCTTATACAGCTTAAACATCCTGGGCAGTCTCTAGGCCTTTTGACCTCAAATCCAATGTTTTTTCCACTCCCCAAACCAGAGTAAAGCAGAAGCCTTTCAAGCTTTTGAATGGACCAAGATGAACCTCAAACGGCAAGCTAGGGGTGCCTGCCACTTATACCCCTCAACTGCAACAGCCCATTTCTTCCAAGAACTAGATTCAGAGCTAAAAGGGCACTCAGACATCAAGTCTAACTCGCTCAGGCTGTGTCTTTTCGTACAGATGAGGAAATTTTGACCTGCCCAGGTGGTAAAAAGGTTTGCCCAAGGCTCCAGCCCTGTGGAAGCTAAACCCTCCTACTGGGCAGTCAGAGTTTATCTTTTTTGGTTGTGTTTTTTCTTTTTTTTTGGTACCGGGGATCGAACTTGGGACCTTGCACTTGTGAGGCAGGCGCCAGAACCACTGAGCTAAATCCCCAGCAGAGTTTATCTTTTGCCATAAGAGTGCATTGAAAATAGCAACACCCCCGCCAAGTTATTTATAATTACTTAAGTGGAAGGAAGGGTAATCAAAATAAGATAGCTTCCAATAAAGCCACTAGATGTTCTGGAGGTCAAAGCTGTGAAAAACCCCTGTATAACTTTGGTGATGCTAGGAAGGCCCGAGCTACCAGACCTCACCAAACAGTGCTGGGAATGAGGTACGAGAGAGAAGGGCAGCAAATAAGCAAGGAGCTGAGTGTAAGTTTTAAATCTGATCAGCTGTGGGCCCCTGAGTAAATCACCGCCCTCCCTGCGTTGGGTTTTCCAGGGGAAGCTAAGGGCAGGCTCCCGAAAAGGTATCTCAGGTCACACTTTTTTTGCCCAGATCGCCAGGCCCCTACGGGCCAGCGAGGACAACTGCCCGGGACAAGTTCTCTCCTAACTGCAGCGAAGCTTCCATCCTGCACAGCGCCCTCCTATTCCCAGAGCGTGGGGGTCAAGGGGCGACGGCAATCAAGAGCAGGAGTCTCTGTCCCAAAGGAGGGGTGCGGGCCAGGTGAGGCCGGCTACCTGAAGAGATCCTCGTCCAGCGGCTCGAGGTTGAGCACACTGGTGACCAGAATGCTACGGAGGTCCCGGGAGGGATCGCCGCGGTCGCCGCCGCCCTGCTCATCCTCCGGAGCCTGAAGGACCGACATCTTGTTCACTCGGTGCCGGCCCGAGACCCTGCTCTGGGAAGAACACGCGGAGACCTACACAGGACGCCGGCGCTTCCGGCAAATTGTCTTAGTAACCGGAAGTCCTTTGAGTAGCCACCTAGAGTAGGATGCAGGTTATGATTGGTCAGCGGGCCTGTCAGTTCCTGAGTTGGTGTGGCTCTCTTTTTTCAGTGATTGGAACAAATAGATGCCAGTCTCAGAATTCCACGTGTAATTGGATGTGACATTGAGGGGGGGTGGAACCTCGGGGTCTGATAATAAGAACTGTTATTTCCCTTCTGTCAGATAGCTGACTCCTCCAGCCTCTTAAAACTCAGTGGCGCCTGGGGCGTCTCCTGAGCTCCATAATAGGCCATCTAATTGGGGCCGCTCCTTAAGGCGTCCTGGTCCCCTGTCACTCCGTAAAAAGTGTGACCTCCCACCCCTGGTGTGATCTTGGGGCCAGATCCTGGCGTGGGCTGTCGGGGCGGCCATGGAGCTGGGGAGCTGCTTCAAGACTTACGAGGACTTCAAGGAGTGCTTTAGCGCCTACAAAAAGGAGAACAGGTGCTCCTTCATTCTCAGGGACTGCGTCTCCGTCCGCTTCCACAACCTCAACCACGGCACTTCCATCCGCGAGGACATCCTGTAAGGGCGGGGCGCGACAGGAGGTTGGGGAGGAGGCCGGCCCCAGGACGGCTGCTGGAGGAGGGAATGGTTTGGGGCCTCGCTCGAAGTCTGGCGGCCATTCATTCAGCGGGCGCTCCTTGAGCGTCCAGAGGGAAGCCTCCACAGGCCTGGCTTTTTGGCCGCCAACTTCACTTTCAGCCTTCATTCACGAGCTTTTCTGGAATTTATAGTAACTGCAGTATCTTTTTTATTTTTTTAAGCGTCAGCAGTGTCCCAGGCACAAAATGTGGCCTTCGAAAACTGATAAAAACGCGTTCGCGTTATTTCCCTTATCAGGCTCGTCTTTACGAAGCAGTAACGTGATCATTTGTTGGTTAGCTTATTCCCTCATCGATTAGTTTTGCAAATTGTTCTTGAGCTCCTGATATTAATTACTAATCGCTTTTCAAACAAGTTCCACTTCTCAGGCAGCATTCGCTATTTTATTCATGCTTTACCCGGCAGGGCTGTTTTCAGAACTATATAGATAAGTGTTTTTTTCTCATTTGACAGATGAGATTGGCTTAGGGTCCAAGATGTGTTGAAAACCCAGATGCCTTCAGGACTTAGGTGAAACAGCCCAGTGTAAAAAAGTTCACTTCTGAGAAAAAGAATGATGAATCTGGGCTTAATGGGGCAGGCTGTTAATCCCAGCAATGTGGGAGACTGAAGCAGGAGGATCACCATGAGGTCAACCTAGGCTGGGCTACATAGTGTGATCCTGTCTCAAAAAATAAAATTTTATAAGGGCTGAGGATGTAGCTCAGTAGTAGAGCACTTGGCTAGCATGCTTACAGCACTGGGTTCAGTCCCCAGTACTACCACCAAAAAAAAAAAAAAAAGAAGAAGAAGAAAAAGAATGATTAAACAATCAGCAACACCAGGTCTTTGTGCTAGGCACAGAGTGTCAATAGGAGCAGGCTCCATCTATTTAACCCAGCTGATGGCTGCCATGTGAAAATGAAGATCTGGTGTTGCCAGAAATTCGGGCTTTTGTGAATTTGTCCACTGTTTAGAAACTGAAAATCAATTCAAGTGTATTTATTGAGGCATGCATGCATCAGTGAAACCAAGGATCAAACCCAGGGCCTTTGCAATGAGCTACATTTCCAGGCCTTTTTTTTTTTTTTTTGCCAAAAATATTTATTTAACTCACCACTATAGTAGGGGATATGTGATTTAGGGAAAACAGACAAGGAATACAAAAGTGACTAATATTTAGGAAATGTGCCACAGAAATTTTATCTATAGAAATAAGGCATGTGCATGAATAATATCTTGAGAATAAAAGTAACTGGAAAAATAATTAAATTTGAGAAGAGTAAAATCTTTGTTTACAGATCTCAACAGCAATGAATCCTATCCATTTAAATTTAAAAACAACTGAAATGGGCCGGGGATTTAGCTCAGTGGTTCTGCCGCCTGCCTCGAAAGCACAAAGACCCAAGTTCGATCCCCGGTACCAAAAAACCAAACAAACAAAAAATGACTCTGAAATATTAAATTTTAAAAACACAGTATTTTAAATATTTGGAGACTGGGTCTTGCTAAATTGCTTAATTGGCCAGGTCCAGTTTGAACTTTCTTTTGTTTTTGGTACTGGGGATCGAACTCTGATACCTTGTGCTTTTCAAGGCAGGCGGTGGAACCACTGAGCTAAATCCCCGGTCCCCAGTTTGAACTTTCAATCCTCCTGCTTCAGCCTCCCAGTGTGATGGAATCACAGGCATGCACCTCCATTCCTGAGTCAATTCAAATTTTAACACATATCATGTGGGTCAACTGTGAGAGCCCAAGTATTGTCTAAGTTTGAGACCTGAACTGAGATGTTTGGCCGAAGCTCCTCAACTAGGGAGCTAGGCTATATTCTGCCTCTAATCTGAAGTCTGGTGCTGTTGTGGTGGAGATGACAAAGATGATTGTTTCCAAACTGTCTTCATAATGGTGATAAGGTGAGATATACTTGGACAAACTAATTTATACAGGCTCACAATATATTTTGTTAAATTGTGCCTACTGAATATGCACTGACTTTTTCTTATTCCCTACACAATATAGTACATAACTATTTACATAGTGTTTACACTGTATTACATATCATAATCTAGAGATAATTCAAACTATATGAGAAGTCATATGCAAATACTACATCATTTTATGTAAAGGACTCTAGAAATCTGTGTATTGTGGTATCTGAGAACACAGATATATGTATGTGATAAATCGTTTGAAAGAGATGTACAAAAAAAGAAGTAACAAATGCTGGAGATGGGTAAGTCTTCACAATGGAATTAATGTTTTCCCTGGGCTGTGAATGAATGCAAAGGGCTAGAATAGGAGATCAATTACTGAGTAGCATGGAAAAGTTTGACCAGACGCAATCTCTATGAAAGGTCTCTTGGTACCTTTATGAGGATCTTATCTTATGTGATAGCCCATTGCTAAGGAATGCAAAAAATTCACAGTTGCCCCTAAATACCTTTCATATAATCCATCCCTGCATGTTACATAGCAGGCATTTAATAAATAAATAAGTTAAATGAACAAGTTCTTAGGTGCCAAACATGTGAAACAAAAACATGGAAAACATAGGAAATAGGTGCTGCAGGAACTTGGAAGAGAGAAAAATTAGTGTTCTCTGAAGACAAAGGAAGGCTTGAACAATAAGGATGGGGAGGTATATGTTCTCTACTTGCAACTCTAACAAATTACCACTAGTTTAGTGACTTAAAACTATACAAATTTATTATACATTTTTTTTCCCCTGGCCCTGGGGAATGAACCTTTGTACTGAACTATATTCCCAGCCCTTTTTATTTGATACAAAGTCTTGCTAAATTCCCCAGCCTTGAATTTGGCAGTCTCTTGCCTCAGCTTCCAAGCATCTGGGATTACAGGTATGAGCTCCCACACTTACCTAAGAAGATAGTTTTTAGACAGATCCTCCTTAAGTAATTAACATGCCTATGTGCAGAGCTAAGCAAGAATCTGACCCTAAGTTTTAAGGTGAAAAAAGGAAATAGATACAAAATGAAGGCAGAGATGCCAAATTTTATCCTGATTCCAGTTACCGCTGGGCATCTATAGGCCCAAGTGAAGAGCCAATGTTTTTTTTTAGCAAAAGCAGCTTTTTCAGTCCCTCATTTTTTCAAACCCAGGGTCTTGTACCTGCACTGTACCTCTGAGATATTCCCCCAGTGCTTATTTTTCTTTTTTTAATACAAGGGGTGGCATACTATTTATTTATTTATTTTATTTTTGAGAAACGGTCTTGCTACATAGTTCAGGCTGGCCTTGAACTCACTATGTAGCTCAGGGTGGCCTCAAAGGCATAGCAATCCTCCAGGCTCAGCCACCCAAGGAGCTGGAATTACAGGCATCCACCACCAGGCCCTGCAACAGAACACTTTTTTTTTTTTTTTTTCCCAGTACCGGGGATCGAACTCAGGACCTTGCACTTGCTAGGCAGGCACAATGCCACTGAGCTAAATCCCCAGCCCTAGCAGGATACTATTTATACACATCCTTCTGTGCCGGGCCTTTCTCACTCATCAATGTATTTTTGGAGATTATTTCACGTATTCCATTTTATGGGAAGTTTAGTTGATTTGATTTTCATCGATTCAGCAGTTAGTTTCGGAAAACTTGCTCCAGGCTAAGGTATGGAGGTAACATTGTTGAAAAAGGTAAATTGTGTCCCTGCTATTGTGGCACTTTCTCTCTAGTTAGACAAATACTAAACGATAATGGCAGAAATAATTACTTCTTCGAAATGAAAGTGAAGGGCCAGGCATGGTGGCATACACTTGTAATCCCAGCACTCAGGAGGCTGAGGCAGGAGGATTCCTGAGAGTATGAGACCAACCTGGGCTACATACTTAGGGAGCTCAAGGCCAACCTGAGTTCCATAGTGAGACCTTGTCCTAAAAAAAAAAAAAAGAAAAAATGGAAGTAAGGATTTGGGTGTGATGGTGCATGGCTGTGATCCCAGCACGGAGACAGGCTGAGGCAGGAGGATTGCGAGTTTAAGTTCTTTCTGGGGAACTTAGCAAGACCCCATCTCAAAATTAAAAACAAAAAAAGGCTGGGAATGTAGCTCAGTGGTAGAGTGCCTGAAGGTTCCATCCTCAGTACCTCAGGGCCACCAAAAAAAAAAAGGAAGTGAAGCCTGCAGAGAAAACGTTAAGGGTTCTGAGTGGTGAAGTAATGGGGAATCTTAATCTGGCTGGTGGTCACTTTATGCCAGGGCAGGCTCTGAAAAAAGGCTGTCATCCTACAAAGCACATTCAGCTTCACCATCTGATTTCGTCCTCTGAATAACCTTGTTAGAGGCAAGTTATTCCCATTGAATGAGTTAATATATGTGACGTGGTTTCAATGGGACTCAGGACACAGAAACTATTCTACAAATAACATT